CTAATTTATTTGTTTACTGTTATGATATTTCAGGTCTCCTACTACAGTTGGGTATTTCTGTATATAATCCAGCAGAATGGAGACTTTTTATCGATAGCTCAAAGCGAAGCCTAGAATGCGTTATATTGCACAATGGAAATATTTTTGGTTCTGTACCAATTGGTTATTCTGTTTATTTGCAAGAAACTTACAATGACATTAAAATGGTGCTTAACTTGATTAAATATCATTTACACAACTGAATTATTTGTGTAGATCTAAAAATGGTTAACTTTCTACTTGGTCAGCAGAAAAGTTGTACAAAATTTCCATGTTATCTCTGTATAACATACAAAAAGAATTGCCCATTCGCAAGTCTCTCACAGTGGGCATGGAAAATATTGTGAATGAACCGATTTTTAGTCAAAACAAAATAGTTTTTCCACCTCTCTATCTTAAACTTGGAATCATGAAACAGTTTGTTAAAGCACTAAAAACTGATAGTGATTGTTTTCAGTATATAGTTAAATCATTACCAGGATTGTCAATAGAGGAAAAAAAAGCAGAAGTTCTTAACGGGCCACAAATTCGCTATCTTATAAAAGATAAAGAATACATTAAAACGATGAATATCAAAGAGAAAACGGCTTGGTTATCGTTTGTGATTGTCATAAAAAATTTTCTTGGAAATAAAAAAGCAGAAAACTATGCACATTTAGTTGATAAAATGTTAAAAGCCTTTTGTGATCTTAGATACAAAATGAGTATAAAGCTTCATTATATAAATAATCATCTTCACCAGTTTCCTGAAAATCTTGGAGATCTGAGTGAAGAGCAAGGAGAGCGATTCCATCAAGATCTAAAGACAATCGAAGATTGTTACCAAGGACGTTGGGACATACACATGATGGCAGACTACTGCTGGGGCATCAAGCGAGAAGACACAGTAAAAGTTTATAAACGAAAGAGCAACAAGCAAAAGTTTCTTCCTGATTAAGTAGTTGTAAATAAGCAACATAATCTGCAATCTTTTTTAAAACAAAGTAAAAAAGATTTTGATCTTTCACTAAAGTAAAAGATTTTTTTATTAATCAATAAAAAGTTAATAACTTTGCTAGGACTTGGACATTTGAAAAATATTTATTTTAATCAGTTTACATTTAGTTTCATTTGCTTTCTGTTTTTGTATTAGTTTTGTAAACAACTTTTATTCTAAAAAGTATATCCTAGCATTTCCAAATGAGTTTCAAATCTGTGTTTTAGAACTATTTCTACTGTTTTTCAAAATTAAAAAAATATAAATTGCAAAAAATCTGTAGTTTTCAATAAAAAATGAATGCCAGATTTGAATTCAGCGTATCAAAAATATGTTAAGAACAAGTGTAAAATTTAATGCAATAATTTTTTTGTAGACCTGTGTTATTCATTATGTTTTAGTTATACAAAATACATTGATACATCAACTGAGGGTTTTTGTTTGGTCAGATACTCTTTTAATTAAAAGAATGTCTTCTCTGAAAAAAAAATTTGAGTTACAAAATCGAGACCCCCCTTCCCCTCGTAACAAATCATCACAAAATCGCTTACCCGTCCCCCCCCCTCCCTCCTAAGCGTGACAATTTATGGACAAACCTTTTTGTAAGCAACTCGTTGATCTTATTTAAATCTTCATTAAACAATTTAAAAAGAACAAAATTTTGCTCACCTCTATATTATGATCAAAACAATAATAATAGTCCTAAAAGAGAACTCTGGGGTGCCCCACAAGTTATTAGGTTGTTTTTTTGAATCTTTTGAGTCTTAAATTATTAATTGCTTTCTGTTAGCTATGGTTTAAACCAAATAAAACTTTTGTTTTTGACACCATAATTTTCAAGTTTCTTCAAAAGTATCTCATGACTTATATTGTCGAAAGTTTTAGATAAATCAATAAAAACACCATTTGTATAGCAATCAGTATCAAAACTCTTTTAATTAAAAGAATGTCTTTTCTGAAAAAAAAATTTGAGTTACAAAATCGAGACCCCCCTTCCCCTCGTAACAAATCATCACAAAATCGCCTACCCTTCCCCCCCTCCCTCCTAAGCGTGACAATTTATGGACAAACCTTTTTATAAGCAACTCGTTGATCTTATTTAAATCTTCATTAAACAATTTAAAAAGAACAAAATTTTGCTCACCTCTATATTATGGTCAAAACAATAATAATGGTCCTAAAAGAGAACTCTGGGGTGCCCCACAAGTTATTAGGTTGTTTTTTTGAATCTTTTGAGTCTTAAATTATTAATTGCTTTCTGTTAGCTATGGTTTAAACCAAATAAAACTTTTGTTTTTGACACCATAATTTTCAAGTTTCATCAAAGTATCTCATGATTTACATTGTCGAAAGCTTTAGATAAATCAATAGAAACCCCATTTGTATAGCAATCAGTATCAAAATTAAAGTTCGAAAATCAAATTGTGTAGCAATTACCAATTAAAGTTAAATATAACATAATCAAAGAAAATGTCTTTTACTATGTAGCGTCGTAATAACTTTGCAAACGAATCATTTCAAAACAAAACATTAAGAGAAATTTTAAAAGATTGAGAAAACTATGTTATACGGAAATATAATGAATTACTTTGATAATAAAATTAGTAAAGTAGAAAAAATTAATAAGTTTAAGCTAGAGAAAATAGAAAAGTAAAGCATATAAAGGAAAAATAATTATTAAAAAATATTTTTTGAAAAAATACACCTTTTCTTTAATTAGACTAAAAAGGAGAAAGTAGTTTTTTCTTTAGATTTGACCCACCTGAGTCTAATTTTATAATTTTGTTCCTTGTAAATTCTAAATTTTTTACATCTAAATTTATTGAGATGCAAGAACACTGAAAAGGTAGGACTTTTTTCTCATAAATTTTTTTATAAATTTTTTTTTATCGTCCTAATTTGTAAGATTTTCTCCTCAGCTAACGTGTAATCTTTTCAATGCTCTTGCGTTTCAATAAATTTAAAAGATGTAAAAAATTTAAATTTTCCAAGGAACAGTTTTATAAAATTAAGCTCAAATGGGTCAAATCGAAAGAAAAAATAATTATCTCCTTTTTAGTCCTACTAAAAAAAAGGTGTATTTTTTAAAAAAAGATTTTTTAATTTTTTAATAAACTAAACAAAAAAACAAAAAAATTAAAATGACAAGTAACTGAACTTTATTATAATACGTAAAAACTTTAAACTGTAAGTTTAAAATTATTAGCTATTCTACGGTCTTCTTCATGAAAAGTTGACTCTCCGGGCCTTATTTAAAACAAAATTATCAACAATTTCGTCAGAACATAGAGTTTTTCCAAGATCGTACTCAATAGATATAACTAGGAGACTGGTATGCTGATCTTGAGCCATTGTAGATTTTATTGCTGTATTGACTAAGCCAAGCTTACTAAAAACCGCTTTCATTTTGGCGATAAAAACAGGAATCATATTAAAAATGCGTAACAAAATGCATATGGATTTGAAGAGAGACTGTAGACTTTTCTGGTAGATCCTATTCAACAGCTTTGATGAATTAAGAAATTCTTTTTGACCAAAAAGATTAGCGCATTTTAGAGTATCCAGATGAAGAACCTCTCCAATAAGTTTTTTTTTTTAATCTACACCGTTCTTATAAGTATGCATCAAAGTTTTGCATTTCTTCTCCAAGGCTAGATAATTTGATTTCTTCTTCACTCAATTTACTATTAGATTCTAAGAGCCATAAGAACGAGAACCTGTTTGTCGTCTTTTCTGCAGCTTGAAACCTGTGTCTTGTTTGTTGAATTAGAGTAGCGAGAGCGGTATTGAATATATTAACCTCAAACTGCTTTTCTTCATTTTGGAAATGAACTTCGTTCTTGGCTTCTTTGTGAAAGTTCTTCCTTTTATTGTCCTCTTTTGAGCAAAGTCTGATTGAAAGCCTTAATTTGCAAGACCGGAGGCAATCAAATTTGCTTCGTTAATGAATTTGGGCTAAAAAGTCGGATGAGATTTTTGATAAGCGTCTTCATCTAAAGAGTGAGACACTGACATAGTATTAAAGAGCTCTGAACGAAAAGGTTGTCATGATAATGAATTCAAATGAGTAAGTCCATTTCTCCAAAAATTTTACTTTACCTAATAGATTTTTTGTTAGATCAAGGTCATGAAGTTTTTGGAAAGATATTTGGATTTGGCTAGGTTGCTTAACCAACGCCTTTACCGCCTCAATGCGTGGAACTCATCGGTTTGCGAGGTTTGATGAAAAGGTAAACCAGTCGCCTCGGTTAAGATTTTTTTTCGAATATGGCTTCCTCTAAAAAAATTGTAAAGTAACTGAACCTGACCAAAATAGTTCTTCACTTCAACAGAATATTCAGCGGAATAAACATAAATAGATTATGAGCGGTATATAGAGTGCTTGAGGATTCTTCTTTTTATGCGTGTGTTGTATATAAGTACTGTAATGTATGTATTGTAAGTATGATGGCTTGTACTCTTTTGTACACAAGAGACATGTTAGCTCCGATTTTGTATTCTTGACCTTGGTAGTTCATTAAATTGATGTCATTTTGATTCAAGACATCCATAATTAACTTGGCAATGTCCGCGCCTTTCATTTTTTCCATATTTTTGACCCTGAAAAAACGCTCCTTAACTAACCATCTTTTATCAACACCATAGTAGACAAATCGGAGTACAAAGGTGATTTGCTCAGTATGAGAGATTTCAGGAGTTCCATCAACGATAATAGAATAGTAAATGGCCGCATGAGCCTCTTAAATGATGGCACCGTGGACAACTTCTCCACACTCTTTGATAAACTCATTTTGAAAACTACAACCCAAGTAATGGGCATTTTTTTTTTTTACCTTCTTGTTGATAGCGAGAAACTTCTTCTAGGTGTAACAGAAGGGTCTTGTTGTACTTTAAGAGTAGCTCTAGCGTGGCAAGAAAGTTGCTGTTATCATCACCAATCATTTTTGATAATTTTAAAAAAGGTTAATAATTGCACATATAAATGACTTTTTGTTTAATTATAATATATTAACAATGATGTAAATACAAATATAATATCACGCTGAGGTTGCGTGTTTCTGAAAAATGAGCACGGAAAACAAAGAACTTTGAAGTTGCACTCCAAACAAGCCAATCTTCATTCATTATTTCTCCATTGCGAGATACTACGTAGAAAACTGATTCAGGTACTTTTATATTACACAAGTCTCTTGGAAAAGATAAAAGATTTTGAGGAGGTTCCTTAAGTACTACAGCATCGCGTTCAACTTCTAGACAAGTTTTCCGCCCACAAAGCAGAATCCTTGGTAGTAAATGGCTCATCAATTGGCATTTCCTAAAATTTCAAATAAAAAGATAAACAATCATTTTCTTTTCAAAACTTCACAATAATTGCTGAAAAAAATCTTGATAAAGCAGTTATTTTCAACACTTGTTGCCGCCATTTTGCAACTTGAAAGAGGCAATAATTTTTCTGAGCTCAACAAGATTTCATAACACTTATTTGCAATGCCATTCTAGATAAAATAACTTTAAAGATTTTTAAATGTTTTTATTTAAATAATAATAAAATATTTGGGAAATTATTTTTAAAAAAGAAGGTAGCGTTTAGATGAATAAACTTACTATTTCAACAGCTCGACATGTCTGAGAAGAGTTTGTTGTAATCGATATGAAAGTTGCTGACTTATTCCCCTTTCCATTTTTTCTAAATTGTTTGCCATAATCTTTGAGTGTACGTTTATTTTTTTGTTTATTTTTTGTCCTATTTGCAAGATTTTTCCTGCCTTAAGAGCAAGAGTCTTTTTTTTTTTGAAATTCAACATTTGTTTTGTACGTAGTCAAGAAACTATAACCAATCAATAACTTTCTTTATACTCTTTTATTAAAAAAAGAGTTCAATATAAATTTAAAAAGTTTATATAAATGTATAATTTAAACATTAGATATAATTTTTACTCACTCTAATTACTCCAAATAGAAAAATTTTAAGCATCAAACTTAAATGTAAAAAACTTATAAATTTATTTTAATGATATTTAACGAATCTAAACAAAAGCTTAGAATTTCAATTATGCAACGTACTTTTATCACATTAAGTACTATTTTGTTAAATAAATTAACACAATTTATATATAATGTATATTTTTTAGAAAGCAGCCCTTTTGAATATTTATGCCTTATATGAATAATCAATGCGCCCGGGTAAAAAGTACCTAGTGATCCCCCTCCTCCTCGCGGCGGCGGCTATGCAGATAAGCATTATTATCACAGTCTATTCATCATAACAATTATAATAACTACAATGATTGTTAACACAAATAAATAAAACATGCTTTCCTTTTAAACAGATCCGTTTTAGATTCTTTTTGTACAAAAATTCCTAAATAATAAAAATAACCTTATTTCCAAAAAATAAATAATCTGATTGTGCAGTCTTGAAAACTTGGTAATAAAAAACGTTAGTGCCGAAAAGTTATGTATAAAGTAATTCCTTTAACATGTCTACATTAAAAAATTTATAAATACCTTCTACAAATAGATGTAATTTATTTATTTTAGAATAAATGCCGCCTAATATATTTAAACAAATGATGGCAAACAACACTATAAAAAACAATGAGAATTATATGGCAATTGAAAAATATGGATGTTTGACAACTAATCAATGATTTGTAATTACTTAATATTTTGAAAAAAAAAGTTACACGGAAAAAGCAATAAAATATTGATAAAAATTCAGAAAATTATTCTCCCTGCCGTCCATAATAATAAGTTGCTTCAAACGTTCCGTCCCAATGAGCATCATTTATACATAATGTTGGTTCAGCATGAAATTCATTTAGGAATAATTTCCAATTCATATATTGATTATAAAAGCAATATACACTATGATCGTTAAGTGTTTTTTTATTGTTAAAATTACTAATACCTCTATTTTTCCAAAAAGTTTTCATTTGATTTGGATAACTGCCGTGAACTCCTATGTATGTACTGCATATATTTTTCTCATTTTTAAATTTTTCAACAAAAGAAGCAGGTGGATTATGATATAAACGGATATCATGTCTATAATGAAAGTTAGGCAAACTCATTGTGTTAATCCAAATTCCAATCATTTGATCTGCCCACTTATGACATAACATTGTTTCAGGATCTTGACCTAAAAATATTTCAATTAAATCCCTCGATAGCAAAATTATGCTTTCGTCAGGACGCACCAAATCTTTAATACAATGAATCCAACCCCAATGATAAAGTTTATTAGGAGGCATGGGTATTTCATTAAGAAATCTTTCAAGACATAAAAAATAATCATCGTCAAGTCTTAAAAAGTAATCAAACTTGAAATTTTGCATCGCCCACACCATATGAAAAAGAAATCGTTTTCCAAAATCAAATCCTCCGGTCAAATTTTGAAAATAAATGTCTCCATATTTAATAGATTCTGATTGCAGATCAACACCATAGGAACTTGGTTTCCAATCAGTTAAGAACACACATTTGACAGATAACTAAAATTTTCATTTAAAAAATTAGATATTTTAAAAAACATCGAAAAAAACAATATATTAACTTACGTTCACTGAATTTTTCAGGAGTTAAATAATCAAATTTGTAAATAATACCCAAGTAGCAAGTTTCATCCATGCTTATTGGTACAATATTTATCTCAATATTGACTAAATATTGTTAACAATATTGGAACAATATAAAATGTCTATATTTTGATATATCTAGCCATTATTGGCTATATATATAAAAATAGCACTACCCACCCACCCCATCAAGGTGATTTTCAAATTAAATACGGTTTTTTTATGAATTTAATCGGCTAGTCGGGTATTTGAAACAATCATAGAATCGTTTGATTATGATATCAAGATCATATTATAATAGAAGTAAGTATAGCAAACAGTTTAACAATTTACATAATACAATTTTAATTAGATAAAAAGTAGAAAGGTTTACCCCTTTTAATTTTTTAAACCGTTTACATTTTGTTTGATTTAGCTTTTCTTTTAGCTTTATCTATGGTTTTTCTTTCAGCAGTTTTGTTTAATTGAGCTCATATTTTATTTTTTAGAAAGCAAATAGGATGAGGCCTAACTATATTTTATGCACTAAAAGAGTTTTACTAGAAATAAACAATTTATTTTTTCATTAAATTGTTTATTTCTACTTTTAAATTTATTATTTAAAAAAAAAAGTTTTTTGAAATCTTAAATTAATTTAATTCAATATTCATTGAATGCTACCGTTTCATACCTTGCTTATTTTATTATGTATCATTTTGTTGATATTTCTGTAATGCTGTTACCAATCTTTGTTTTTTTTTTAGAAAATTTGAAAAATAAATTGAAATTTTAGCCAACATTGACATTTTATTGTTTGTAAAGGTTAAATTTTGTTGTGATTGCAGTTCTTTTTTTTTATTTTCTTTTTTTTTTTCGTTCTTTATTCAATAAGTATTTGATTTGAATTAAATATGATTATAATTCGATATTTTATTACAAGATATGTTTATAGAAAAATTTAAAGGTTAGGGGCCATCCATGAAGGACGTCACCATTTTTTAGCCAATTTTTGATCCCCTCCCCCCCCTCCTTTGTCACCGGTTGTCCTTTTTCCCTATACCCCCCTTGAAAAGGACGACATAAAATCCTGAACCCCCCCTATTTTTAACTCCAAAAAAATTTATTTCATCTCGCAATTTTTAAATCTGCTGCTACACCTTTGAAAAATAAAATTAAAAATATTCTCATACATTATCTTCTTAAAAACACATGTTTACGTAGTTTTCCATGTTAATTAAACTAAAATAAAAAATCTATAGAGTGACGTCCTTTTCTGACAACCTCCCCCCCTCCCCTTGTCCTTTTTTGTCCTTTTTAACTCGACCCCCTCCTTCCCCCCTATTTGGATGACGTCCTTTATGGATGCCCCCTTAAGAGTGTTGTTTGCATATTTATTTATATTTTGTTTACTTGAAATCTTTTTTAAATTTTCTCATTTTTAAAATTTTTGTTTGCGCAATTCAAGTTATATATGTTTATAGTTTGCATATATGTTTAGATTATGTTCAAGTTTATAAAGTTTTTTATAAATATGTGTATCTGGTATTATGCGTTATATAATTGCTTTGTAAATACGTTTTTATAATAGTGTAAAATACATTTTATCTGTGTATAGAATTGTTACGTAAGATGTTTGTATATGTTATTTAAGGTTACATAAATATATTATGTATATATACAGGTTATATTATCTTATGTATACATACATGTTATATTATCTTATGTATATATACATGTTATATTATCTTATGTATATATACATGTTATATTATCTTATGTATATATGCATGTTATATTATCTTATGGTATGTGTTATTGTTGTGTATTGTCGTTGTTTTTATGATGTTTTGTGTTGATAGAAATTTGGCATACCATCATGTTGGTATCTATTGTTAAAATGATTAATATAAACTCATTGCTTTTAGTTATTCACTAAAAGTCAAGACAAATCATTTTGCCATATGCATATAATTTGTTTTTATCTCAATTTGATTTTTTGTCTTTGGCGCTATTCATTACATGCTTTTGCAATAAATATTTTAGAACCATAATATAACAACATGAATTCTTTTCTAAAAGCTAACATGAAATAACGATATTTAACAACTACTAATCCGGTATCACAACAGCTTTCTCTATCAGGTATATTGATTTCCAATTTTCATATGTGATGTTTTACTTTGTATTTACTTATTTATTACATTTTTTATTTCAGATTTATCATAAAATGTATTTATGCAATATAGAAAAACAAAAAGTTGTAAATTTTGTGAATTTTTTAAAAATATCTACTAATAATTATTCCAGTCAACATTCAAACGTTGCATACGTCATTTATAAGTAGGTTTTCTAAACGCGTTTCTAATCATTCACGCGGTCTTACAAGCAAGGTCTGCAGGCAAATTTGAGCTGATAAATTTTTTTATGAGCTTTATAAAGAGAATATTTTTTGTTTACTTTAATTTGTTTAAACATTGTAGGGTTAATAAATAAAGGTTTGTTTGTTCTTGTTTCTTTACTTATCTGTTTTCAGATTCTCAGGAACTAAACAACTAGCTAAGCATGTTTTATTTTATTTTTTAGAGCGATTAGAAAGAGCTGAAGTGCTTTTTAGTCACTTCAATTTGCTTTATTGTTATTTTTTCATTTATTAGAAAGGGTAATAATAATAAAATTTTTTAGACAATAGAACTTGTATTAATTTGAATTAGTTTTGCTATTTTGTTTTGTTTTAAACTGGTTTTAAATTTTTGAAATGTTAGTTTTTATACATAAATGCGCCCAGTGGCGTAGGAAGGTTTTTAAATGTTTGAAATAACCAACTTATAAACATTAAGAATATTCAAATTTTTTTACATTTATATGTAGGACGAAAAGATTCTTAAAAAAAAAATTAGTTTAGATTAGATTAAAATCCAGCCTTCCCTGTCCCAAACGTGAGAGCAACAAGTTGATAAAATATTTTTTGTACTATTTTCAACTAGACTTATATTCATCGAGAAATTTTAAATTTCATAGTAACATATTTTAATGATTTAAAGTTATGACCATATAAAGTTTGCAACCTCCTCAAATTGAGGGGGTTTAAACTTTATATGGTCATACTTTTTAAACATTAAGAAATTTAAAATTTCTTAATGAATATATATCTAGTTGAAAATTATTTCATCAACTTGTTGCTTTCATGTTTGGGGCAGAGGGGGCTAAGATTTTAGGGTTTCTTGTTCCCATTCTCCTATCACAGTAATTTTTTTTTAAAAAAACCTTTTCGTCATACATATGAACGTAAATGAATTTGGAATATCCTTGTTGTTTATAAGTTGGTTATTACGCACATTTAAAAACCTTCCTACGACACTGAATGCGCCTATATTTCAGTATATATTATTTCTCTTTATCTGAATGAATATTTTCTCTTAGAAAAAATAGCAAAGAATGGAAAAAATAAATTCTGCTGGAAGTAGTCGAAAAAAAAGGTTTCCCCATGTTTTATTGTTTAAAGTGTTATGCTTCTTTTTAAAGGTATGTGAATATATATATATATATATATATATATATATATATATATATATATATATATATATATATATAATATATATATATATATATATATATACACACACACATATATATATATATATATATTATTATTATTATATATATATATATATATATTATATTATTATTATTATATTATTATTATTATATTATTATTATTATTATTATTATATATATATATATATATATATATATATATATATATATATATATATATATACACACACATATATATATATATATATATATATATATATATATATATATATATATATATATATATATATATATATATATATATATATATATATATATATATATATGTATATATATATAATATATATATAATTTTTTTTTTACCACTTACTAAAAAATAATAAGCTTTAAGTATAGAAATGGTCGATGTGGAATAGACTTAGCAAGACTAGACTTAGCTGTCCGGATCCGTATTTGACGGGTCCGGACAGCTAGTATAAATTATTAATTGAACTTGTAAGAAGTCAGAGATTTAAGAAGTTTAATTTTTGAAAGTGGGTTTTCTATTTTAATTTTTTTGACCATTAACATTTTCTGCAATTTTTTCTCGTAATATGTGTACAACACCACTTGCTGTATAGTTTTCACTGCTCTCTCTGCTGCATCATTAACAAATATGTCAAATACTAAATTTAAATATAAAAAAGCTAAGCTTTAAACAAATGCTTAAAAAGCAATGAAATCAGGATATGATGTCAATATAGAAAAAGAATAAAACATTTACTTAAGAAGCATTGCAGTGTTTAAGTATATCAAATACTAGCCACGACAACTGCTCCTAATTAATCAACTACTGAAGGTGGCTTGGTAAATTTGCTGTGGTTCTCTTAACTTTTGAAGGCTAAAGCTCCAGCTGAATGAAACCTCTCCAGGTGGACCATCTGCAAAACAAAGTCCGGTCCAGTAAATTTAAGATTCCATTGCAACTTTTGTACACTATTTTATCAAACAATAATGCTTATAATGACTTTAATTATATTAATCAAAGACTACTCTTGGGTGTTTATTACAAGGAGGGGAGGGGAGAGGGAATGAAACAAACGGTGGGGTGGGGAGAGTGGGGAAAATTTTAGTCCAGATCTAATAAGCAGAGTGAGGAAGGGGGGAAGGGGTCTTAACAGTAGGGTGGGTGGGAATTTTTTTACAGAACACAAATAAACAAATTAAATCTAATGTGTTGAGCGGTCATATGCGCATTTTTAAACAGCTGTTTCATCATAGTTTAAATAGGATTTCATATTTAATTCTCATTATAGTATTAGTTTTATACCTTAGTGAGAAATAAATGAAAATCTAAATTTTAGAAATCAAAACTTACGAGATTTTTTAAAGATCGACGATTTCTAAATCCTAATTACACTAAAAGTTTTTATTATTATCAGTGACATATATTTTTCTGATTTTTTTTTAATTTTGAGATGCTTTTTTGTTGATAACATGTAAAAATTAACAAACGGAAGGGGGAGGGGTCTTTATAAGCATGGAGTGGGTAGGAAAATTTTCCGAAAATTACTCAACGTTCCGTAGCGTGTATTAAGGACCTAAGAGTAAAAAACTAACCTGGATTGCAGCTCTATCTGATTTCTTAATTTGCAGAAATTTTAGAGCATAGAAAATTGAAATAAAAGCTGCCATATTTTATTCTTATCACCTCCGGCTGTTGTGACATACTTTATTAGGGTTGTTATTTTGTAGGCTGTTATTTCAATGCCTATAGTTGCTCTCATAGTTTCTTCAATAATCTCTCTATTGATGACGATGGTCTAATCGTGCCTGTCTAAACTTCTTATTGAATAGTGCATGTAATCATGTAAAGAGTCAGACTCTTACTCAAAACATCAGTAACCCACACTTCAATGTCTTGACTGAGTTTAATCAAAAAGTGTTAAAGTGTTACTGATGTTGTACATCAATCTAAAATATTTTCAGATGGATGTACAATACCATTCAGAAGGTGGTAGATTATTTTGTAATGGTGTACCTATTACCCTTAGCTTTTCACCTTGTTCTCCATTGATAAGCCAGTCATTATGCACCAACTGCACAACTTGATTTAAATGGTGAGAATCAAATGCCGACATCAAGAGTATGTGATGAGTATTATGGGGAGGGAAACTTAGTAAACATACTTCATTTTCTTTGCAAAAGAGAATTGACTCCAGTGAATAATGAAATTTGCTGTTATCTAATAAAGGCAGTATTGATTTTTGGTTTGTATAGTTGGTGAGATTAACTATGTGTTGAAGTACAGAAGGAAAAAATTCTAAGGTCATCCGTCCGCTTTTATTACCGAGAGCAATACTGAATTTTGGACCTCTTATCCTAAAACTATTCAAATTACGACTTCTGGGAAAAACGTAAACAGAAGAAAGAAACTGACAGATTGCTTTTATAATGCCAACAAATGTTACTTATTGACCACTATCTGCCGAAGCTGTCTGTGAAACTTGCTTCTTGCTACACGTTGAACGACAGTTTTTAAAACTGTTGCAAAACCAGTTTCATTTAGATTATAAATTCTTGATGGGGGAAAACAAAATCGCTCCAAAACTGATTTATAATTTTAAATAAATCGATCTACAGTATATTTATTGAAACCTGTGCTTCTACTATGGTTTGCACTCTCAGGTTTTCAAGGAGACAAAATTTTATGTCATAAAACCTCGTACCCAGATTTTGCCCGCTATACTATGTTTTTCCCATTCTGGTGGAAAAATGCAATTAGTCAACATTTTTGCATAATCAAAAGCCAGCTTGCGTATATTTTTATGTCAATTCATAATTTATGTCTGAAACTTTTTATTTAAACTTAAACTCTAACATAATCTCTTGCTCAACAGTAAATATTTGCTTTGCTGTATATTTACTTGAATAAATTTAGTAACTAATCCTTATAGCCAGTAATATTTCCAGAGACTAAATTGCTAGAAAATCTTTTTAAATAACCTCGTTAAGTAAATATTTTTTTAATATTTTTTTTGTTATACTCTTCAGTGTAGATCTTTTCACATTAAAGGATTAAACAGCTTGTCGTTCAGACAAAAAATATTGTAAATAACAATAATTGCTTCCTTTACCACGTTTTCGTTTACTTTATTTTAATCAGTTTTCGTAACACATTATTGAGGCATCTAAAAGATAAGAGAAACGAATTAACGTGGTACTTTCAACCACCTGTCAAACGTTCCCCAGCTAGACAGGTCGAATGTGTTATATATAAAAAAACATTATTAAAAACCGAAACTAATTTTTTGAAATAAGCCAAATTTTTAAATTCAAGATACCATTGAACAAAAGCCACAAAACTTAAAGATTGCAAAAGAGATTCTCTGCGGATTTTTAAAAAAATAAAAAAATTACCTTTTATATCAATAATCGGATTTTCTTCTGCATAAATACTAATGCTCATGAAGATTGATCAATACTTGTTTGCCGCGATAGCTTACTAACAGACGAAACATGAATAAAATGGTAATTTTAAGCATGCTGGTAAATATTTGAAAAGGTCAAATGTTCCCCATGGTCGAATGTTTCCCGTCTTCCCCTAATAGTTTTGTAAATTAAAAAATATTTTTTTAAAGATTTGTGGCAAAAAACTTGCTTATCAGTCAATTTTTTCCAACAAATTCAAGACTCTAAAAAACCTGTCACAGGTCTTCAATTTAAAAAACTGCATTAAACACATTAAAAGGAATTAGTTTAACACTATTATTAAAAAATAACTGAAATTAAACATTAAAATTTTTACAAATGTGCTTTAAATCAAAAACCAAACTAAAATTAATTTTAAACCAAGAAAATGAAAACTTCAAACATCGATTTTCGATATACCAAAAAATGAACATAAAAAATATGTAGTTACAAATTGTTAAAACCATGGATTATGTGTGCCAAATACAGTATTTATCTGTTTTTGCCTTACATTTTGATATGTGACTCAAATAAAATTTTTTGTTAGACTGAAAGTATTTGTAAAATACAAAAATTATCCTAAAAAATCAATTTTTTTGATGTAAAAACCATTTAAAATATGCATGTTTCTGCATGTAAAATAAAAAAATTATTCTAAGTAAATTGGTTTTTTGATTTGAAAACCGTCTGGTCTTCTGCATTTTTCCTCGCGTTCTTGTAATAATAATAATGATACTTTGCTGTTTTAATACTTGCATACTTTAAAACTTGTAGATTTTAATTGAAAACGAACCAATATAATTTTTCATTACTTTATTTACTGTTCACTATATACAGGGCCGGCGCGAGCAGGTGTCACGTGGGGGGGGGGGGTTATTAAAAAAATTATATATACATATTATTTGAGCTCACTTATTTTTATAGTTTTTTTGGAGAAACTTATTTTCGTGCCTGCATTTCGAAATCAATTCTGATTTTTTGTTTAATAAACATTCTTGGTTTGTATGTGTAATTATTTCGTAGACATAGTATGCATTTTTTGGAAATATTGTTATATGCAGGCACTGTTTTGAGGATGGACTAATTCAGTGTAAAATCATCAATATTTTTATCTTTTAATTCCCATATATATTTTGACAGCATGGTGTCTTTTGAATACTTTTTATTTTTAAAAGATTGCTTATGATTGGCAAAACGTTTTTTCCATTCACCTTCTGTTATGCCAATATATTGTTTATCAGGTACATTCTTAGAGGAGACAACACATTTATATACCACATTTTTTGATAAGCAACTTCCACTCATTGGACAATTGCTTTTTTTTTTACAATTACAATTTTCTGTAGTTTTTTCATTTTGGATTTCTTTTTTGTTTAACAAAGCATTGTTGTGACCTTTTATAATTCTTTCCATATTTTTTGTGCAACTGTAGCTAACTTTAATAGTATTTCGATTAAAAATTTTATGTAATTTATTAGAGGGCGGGAAATGCTTATCGATCAATTATAAAAACACTT